TTCTCCTGCTGTTCTCCCCCCCCACCCTGCCCCCCCGCCCCCGGTTGTGGGTTTTACAAGCTCCAGCGTCCCGGGAGCAGGTGAGTACAGGTGTGCAGGAAATGAAATTCTGCAGCTTTTACCTGGAGGCGTGATTTACCTGGCCCAGGCAGCATTAACCCGTTGCAGGAGCGCAAAGGAAATATTTCTACCCTTACTTGGGAAGGTTTGGGTGCCACTCGACGCCAGATCGAATCCTGCTCTTTGGCAAGAGTGCCACTGAGCATGTACAAAATGCAGACTGCTGAATCAAGGTTGAGAGCCAGGGGAGACTTTATGCCATGAAGATTGTTAGAACTGGATATATATATATTTTCCCCATAATTACAGACATGCAACTTCACAGGTATTTCTGTCTCTCTACTCCAGGGAACTCCAAATGCAGCCACTTTTACAGATTACAGATTAACAGAGCTGGAAGGGACCTTGTAGGTCATCTAGTCAGGGGTCACCCACCTTTTGGATCTCAGGGACCACCAAACGCATCATTTTAAATCCCACGGACCAGAGACCCTGGGAAAATCCCCCCAAAAGGCTGCAGGAAAATTCCTCACTCCATTTTCCAACCGACTGATCATTCTTTATTTGGGATCATGGGATACTGTCTCCAGCTCTGTTCTTAGGAGGAGAGAGAGAGACAGAGAGAAACTTTTGGCTTCCTGCAAGGAAAGCAGCAGAAGCAGCAGAAGTCTTTCTCTCCCCCAAACTCCACCAGAAACGAGTCTTTCTGAGACCTGTCATGCCGGCGCAGCCTCTTGGAGCAGGAGGCCTTGCAGGGTCCCAAAGACTCACTTCTGGCAGAGTTTGGGGGAGAGAAAGAAAGACTTTGGCTGCTTTCCTTGCGTGCTGCCAAAAGCAGAAGAAGAAAGAAGCGGAAAGAAGCAGCCCGGTGGCCAAGCCAGGCACGTGGGGCGAGTGGGACAAGTTCCCCCCTTCACCCTTTTCCCCCTCCCCTCACTACCTCGTGTTGTTCGCAATGCAAGCGACGCAAGCCTTGTGTTCCCGCAGGCCATATGCGTGAGGCAGCCTTGTGTTCCCGCGCAGCCTGGATTAATTGCTTTGGAAGTGACATTTCTCTGCGGACCACCAACATTTTCTCGCAGACCACCAGTGGTCCCCCGATCCACTGGTTGGTGACCACTGTTCTAGCTAATCTAAATCTCCCGGCACAGCAGAACAACTGATGGTTGGAAAAAGAAAAAAAAAGGAAAAATAGCAATGTAGCAGGCACATTTGCCAGGTGAGTGGGCGGGGAGGATTCCCGCGGGCCATGTGGCCGGCTCAGCCTTGTGTTCCCGCACAGCCTGGATTGCTTTGGGAGGCGCTCCGGGGGTGATATTTCTCCGCAGACCACCAAAATTTTCTCATGGACCACTGGTTGGCAACTACTGTTTCTAGGGCCGCCTGCTTGAGCAAGGGGTTGGACTAGAAGACCTCCAAGGTCCCTTCCAACCTTTTGTTTTTCTGCTAATGTGGAAAATCTTGCTTTCAGGAGATGTGGGTGCTCCATCAATGGACGTTTTCAAGAGATTGGACAGGCATTGGTCTGAAATGGTACAGGCCTCCTTTGTTATTTTCCACTCTGCATTCTGTATTAACTCAGCCAAGGAAATGGGTCTCCATCTCAAGAGGTAAGAAGAATAAAGGGAGGGTCAACCAACTTTTCCGGGAGTTGATGTCCACGCATCTTCAAGTCGTTGAGGTTGAGAAACGCTGGTCTAGAGAATTGCACACCGTTCGTGCTTATTGTGCAGATGTGTCATACCAGCTCAGAAAATGGGTTCAGGAAGCAATCATTATTACAATTATATTTGCATAAGCACTTATGCAAATACAACCTCAGACAGTTAAGTCAGCAGTCAAGCAGACGTTCCTGGTCTTAAGTTTTCCAGCTTCTCCACCCAAAGGATCTTAAGATGTCCCTTGGACATGGATTAGATGCCCTGGACCAGAAGAACCAAACTTCTAACCTAACATCAAGATGTTTCCCAGATCCAGATTTGTTCTTTCACCTGGACCTCCAGCCAAAGTGGTCCCTTGCTGCATTCTTTTGACTCCCTCGATCTCAACATCCTGACTACTTACTGCCGGTGACTCATCTTGGCCCTTGAATACCGTAGAGCTGTTCACCAAATACTCATAAGAACAGCCTTTCTGGTCATTGCATAATTGAGATTGTTCAATCATGCATGGAAAGCGCAGGGCAGAGCCCGCTGTTGGAGCAGGAGAGTATTATGTAAAGCTTATGGAAGACTCGCTCTGGAAGGAGATCGCTGAACCCGGTCTGAGGGCCAAAAAGGGAGGCAGGAATGAATAGCAGCGCAGAGTCTACATGAATGTCGGATTAGAGTCTACAACAGCCATTTGTCAGGGTTCTGGCGATTGCCCTAGTTAAATCATGAGCCTCGAGCCAAGCTTCAAAAAAATGCAAGATTTATTAGGAGCAACACGCGGGCATTAACCTAAATGAAGCCAACTGTGGTATACGTAATTTACCTGGGACCCTGTTTCCCCCTCCCGCCTGAATGTGTCATAAATCAGATTCTCCAATGAAGCATGTTTGGGCTGGGTGTCATCAATCACGTTCTCCAATGAAGGATTTTCTTGGGCAGAAGATCTGGTAGCCTAGCTACAATCTTTGTAGATAAGGGTGGAATGTACTTCTGGTTTTAAAACTGCTGTAATGCGCCTTCATATTCCACCCACCCACCCATTGTTTATGGCAACTCGAAAACAGGCATAAAGAATGTTTTATGAGTTGACACAATGTTTCTCAACTTTAGTTGTGTGGACCTCAATACACAGAACTGAAGTTGTGTGGACTTCAACTCCCCGAAATGAACCTGTGTGGACAGACTTCCATTTGTGTAGACTTCAACTTGCAGAGTTGTGGTAGACTTTTAACTCCCAGAAACTGTGTGGACTTCAACACACAGAACTGAAGTTGTGTGAACTTCTGACTCCCAGAATTGAACCTATGTGGATTTCAACTCCCAGAGTTGTGGTGAACCAACTCCCAGAAGCTGTGTAGACTTCAACACACTGAACTGAAGATGTGAGGACTAACGCCCAGAATTGAACCTGTGTGAACTTCCAGAAGCTGTGTGGACTTCAACATCCAGAATTAAAGCGGTGTGGACCAATGCGGAGTTATGTGGACTTCAACTCCCACAGGAGTTTTGGTGGACTTCAGCTCCTAGAATTGAAGCTGTCTGGGAAATTCTGGGATTTGAAGTCCTGAGGTTGAGAAACAATGGCCTCCAGTGTTACAGTTGGGAGACCTGGCTACGTAGACTTCAACAAACACACCTGCAAGATTGTGATGTTGAGCTCAGATCCGTGGGTATCCTATTTATTAATTACTTAGACTACCCATGACCCCTTGGGTCATTGTTCAGAGGTATTTCCTTAACAGATTTGCTATGGGTCCATTTTGTCAAAACCTGGAAAAGTGGGTTTACAGCAAAACCAGCATAAAAAAAACGGTCACGGAACTGTAAGACATTGCAAAGGCCATAAATGCCGGCTGACGGGAGATTCCTGTTCTGGAGGGAATCGTGGCCTCAGCCCTCACCAGATTTAACCCAAGCCTTTGCTTCTTAAATGTTTTAAATCTCTTCTATTCTGATCATATTTTCCTTCCAGGTAGGGAGAGGAACAGGGGTGGGCTTCAAAAATTTCAGTAACAGGTTCTCTGCCCAGCTGCTGGGTGGGTGTGGCCTAGTCGGCCTCCTGCACCAAGGCGGGAAGGGCATTTTTGCCCTCCCCAGACTCTGGAGGCTTCCCTCGGGCCTCTTGGGAGGGCAAAAATTGACTCCCCCGGGCTCATGAGGCTTCCCTCAGGCCTCTGGGAGGGTGAAAATGGACACCCCCGGGCTCCAAAGGCTTCCCTCAAGCCTCTGGGAGGG